CAGCAGTATCAGCATTCGTAGCCAATCCAAGATCCATGAACTGCCTTGGCACCAAGGCTCCACCATTTCCAATTTGTTTCTCCTCTTCTAGTTTTCCATCAAACACTTGTTTTTGTTGGTGTTCCTCATCCTCCTCCTCGCCCTTCTGCTCCTGCATCAAACTCACCACATGCATCTGCAAGGCATTGTAATTGTTGTTAACCTGATCAAGCATGTTCCTCAGCCGATGATTCTCCACCTTCATTCTCTCAAGCTCAGCTTGAAGAAGAACCATCTGAAAAATAATTAGATGCCATCATGCCACATATTAATCAAACACACGACACGTGGATTGATTTCCAATTATATTGAGAGAAAACAAAAGTTGCATACACATTTATTTACCTCACTCTTGGCTCTTCTGTCTTCTGAATTAGGAGATATCTCATCTTCGACCATGGATTGATCACTGCTGGTGTTGGTGGTAAGAAGATTCAAACCGGTCTATTAAGAGAATCACAGATTCATTAGCACTTATCAAGATCATAAAAAAGTCATAATATACGGTGATTTCATTTCACTAATATAACATGAATGAAAATGCTTTGTTGTGTAGAATAATAATAAACCATGGAAGATAAGACATGTGTTGTAGTAGGATTAAGGGTGAGTGATGATGACTCACGTTTACTTTCAATTCCAAGATAGAAGAAGTGGAGGAATGATCATGTGTGTGATGAAGGTGGTCAAGTGAGGGAGGTGCAGAGGTGGAGGCAGAGGCAAAATTGTTGTTGTTGTTGTTGTTGTTGTTTTCATTGTTGGTCTTGTTAGGAAAGAAATCCATTTCTCCGATGTGGGGCCTTTTCTGATCGGAGGCAAGGTTGACTTGGAAGGGGATGGTGGTGGTGGTGGTGGTGGTGGTGTTGGGAGGGGATGATGGAGACTTGTTTGTGGTAACTGTGTCATCCATGTTGGGACCAAGTTTCCACTTTGGTTGGGGGGTGATGATGTTGTCTTCAGGGAA